TTAAAACGTGCAATTGCAAAGGAGAAAGAAGAAGAAATACATCGCTTCAATATTCGTGCAAATTACGATATCGTTGCTCAGTCAAAAATTTATAGCTATTTATATGCCTATAATTTACAGCTATAATTATAGCTATAACTACCTATAAAACAGCTATAATAATGTATAAAATTCAGCTATAAATATAGCTATAAACTACAGCTGTAAATTTTTCACAAATGATGAATAAAAATTAGTTTAAAATCAGATTTTTTCAACATATATCGATCAGTACAGATGGTATCATCCGTATGATAACAGTANCAGCAACCTCAGCCATCCTACCTACTGAACCTCAAATTAACTTCACCGATCTTGCCAGTAAATTCAGACTGGACTCTTTCGCAAACTCTTCTGCTAAAAACAAATTAGATGGACTTTTTAAAGGAAAGACCTACTTCAGTCTATATAGTACTGACAACAAACACCCATGGTTCCACAAAAAAGATCTCCCTCGCTCGGTCATAGTCTCTGTAAACAGAATGCGCTCTAACCACCATAGTCTTGCAGAGTCTCTTTTCCGCAAAAATATTATAAATGACCCTAGATGCAAATGCGGGTTTTCAGAAGAAAATCTTAACCATGTTTTATGGAACTGCGATCTGTACAACACGCACAGAAGTAAATTATTTAAAGATCTCCACGATTTTATTATGTGTTACAGGGCTCCTGAACTTGCACTGTCACAAGATCAATGGAATGAAATTGTGCAGAATGTCATTGTTAACCGTCACACCCTACTCATGGGCGACTTCAACGCGCACCATTCGATATGGAATTGCTTACAAACCGATACCAACGGCATATACTTAGAAAATGCCTATAAAGCTCATAACTTATTCCTGCACAATTTCAATTCCATTACGTACATTAATAAGTGCAGAAATTATAAATCCAATTTGGACTTAATCTTTACATCTACTAATCTCAGTGACAGTGTTAGCACAGATGTGTGTGATGAAACTTGGAGCTCTGATCACTTCCCAATCTTTATAAATATAACTATTGAAAAATATTTTTACAGCAAAAAGTCATTCAAACTCGACTCGGTCCGCACAGACTGGAGTAGCGTTAATAGTGAGCTTGAGAAAAGTTACAACTACCTAATCTCTACAGAGTATGAAAATCTTGCTCCTAACGATAAGTTTAATGCCTTCATGGATATCATTTCCAAGGCCATCATTCATAGTACCCCAATCAAAAACACTATCTCTAAACGCAAACATATTAACCCTGCTCCGTGGTGGGACGGGGACTGTGACCGAGCCAAGAGACTAAGACGCGCTGCATATAAAAAACATCAGTTCTCCCTGGAGCTGGAGGACCTGATACTGTATAAAGAAAAGATGCACTGCATTTAGAAAACTTTTAAAACAAAAAAAAAGAGAGAATTTCCAAAAATTCACAGAAAGCTTAAATATCCATATTAACCCCTCTTTTGTGTGGAATAGATGTAAAATTCTCAAAAATTCCTGGCTGAATGTAAAACCTCCCACTAAAGAGAACCTACAGCCTCATAATTACCAATCCGCTATTGATAAACTATGCCCCCCCTGGGCTCTCAAACCAATCCAACCTCCATTCCGACGTGCACACAAAACGACTTTTTTGACTGTCATTTACACTTTCCGAATTCATCACAGCACTAGAAGACAAAAAAACAGGCTCAGCTCCAGGGATGGACGGGGTCAATTTTGACGTTGTCAAGAAATTACCACTTAAGTATAAATTACTCCTCCTGGATATATTCAATGAAATGCATGTTCATAGCCTGTACCCTGACTCATGGAAAAACGTCTTCATTTTGTTTATTAAAAAATCAGAAGGGCACAGTCTCAGACCGATATCCCTCACGTCTTGTCTCTGCAAGTTGTTTGAAACCATCATAAAAAATCGATTACAATGGTGGGCCGAAACCTTCTCATTGATTCCCAGTAGCCAACATGGTTTCCGCAAAGGAAACTCATGCGTGGATAACTTGCTCAACTTTACACTATTTACTGAAACTGCCTTCCAAAATGAACAAGATGTTTATGCTGCCTTCCTCGACGTGGAAGGAGCATTTGACAACGTGAATATCGACATCCTCCTCCAAAGGCTAGCAGACTCTGGTTGCTCACTCAGGATAATTAAATTTATAAAATTTATTACTCATGAACGACATATGTTTTTCAACAACAATAGCAAACTCAGTAGAACCCTGCATAAAGGCCTTCCACAAGGGGCTAGCTGTTCTCAGTCCCCTCCTATATTTCCCTTACGTCGCTCCTATAACCCAAAACTTACCTGACTCAATATATATTTCTCAGTTCGCTGACGACATTGCCATAGCAATAGGTTCCGATCCCCAAAACAACAACATCACTCTACTAGAAAACGCCATTTCAATTCTAGATGAGAATCTTACTAACTTAGGTTTAAACATTTTTCCTCCAAAATCAAAGTTTTTACACTTAAACAAAAAAAATATTACTCCAGGCCACACATCCTTACGTATCAAAAATCATGATATTATCTCCAGCAATAACGTCAAATTCTTAGGTCTAATTCTAGACTATCAATTATCTTTCGACTCACACTTGGCACATGTTCACAAAAAATGCATGACTAACATGAATATCATACGCTTCCTGCGAGGTACTTGGTGGGGCTCCCATCCGAGTACCCTCACTACCCTATTTACAAGTTTTATACGCTCTTTTATTGACTCCGCATGCTTTGTATATTTTCCACATAAAACAAAAATGAAGGCTAAACTAGAGAAAATTCAGTTTGCTGCGATAAGATATGCTCTGGGTTTTCGCAGAAGCACTCCGACTAATATACTCCTTGAGGAATCTAAATTAACATCCATCGAAGAACGGACAAAACATCTGTGCTACTGCTATTTGAGTAAAAATCTAAGCAATCTCAATTCAGAAACATCTAGACTGATTCTCCAATTCTATACATTTTTTAAAAACAGCAAAAAAATTAAAAGACTCTCTTTTTACAGTATGAACTCACTACTGCACTCGAACCTTGCTCTACACTCCAATCACAATTATTCTATTTACTGTTCCAATTTTTTTACAAATTACACGTCTATTCCCATACACACTGAATTAGGCCTATCCCTAAAAAACTCATCATCTCCACAGCAGTCTATACTGGATTATATTCATGCAAACAACGGCAATTCTATCTTCACCGATGGCAGCAAGGCCAAAAATGCCCCTTGCGTTGGAGCTGCTCTTGCTTTTGCCCTTCAACTAATTTCCAATCTTCATTAAGCCTCAACAAGCTAACATCTGTCTTTACAGCAGAATGTACTGCCATAAATGAAGCTTTAAACTACATCCTAAAAAACAGTGGCAAAAATTTCCTTATCTTTAGTGATTCACTTAGCGTACTCCTCTAAGTTTAAACTCCGTCTAAACAAACGTAACTGCCAATCACATGATCCTTGAGATTAAGGACAAATACTTACGCTACATAAGTGATAACCCTCTCAACGTTATCAAGTTTATATAGATCCCTTCTCATATAGGCATTCAAGAAAATGAATACGCAGACACTCTGGCTAAATCAGCAACCTCAGCCATCCTACCTACTGAACCTCAAATTAACTTCACCGATCTTGCCAGTAAATTCAGACTGGACTCTTTCGCAAACTCTTCTGCTAAAAACAAATTAGATGGACTTTTTAAAGGAAAGACCTACTTCAGTCTATATAGTACTGACAACAAACACCCATGGTTCCACAAAAAAGATCTCCCTCGCTCGGTCATAGTCTCTGTAAACAGAATGCGCTCTAACCACCATAGTCTTGCAGAGTCTCTTTTCCGCAAAAATATTATAAATGACCCTAGATGCAAATGCGGGTTTTCAGAAGAAAATCTTAACCATGTTTTATGGAACTGCGATCTGTACAACACGCACAGAAGTAAATTATTTAAAGATCTCCAGAAACTAAATTTGTACCCCCCTTTTAATATCGAAAGCTTAATTGCGACTCCAAATGTCGCAGCCTGCTTGTCAGTCTGTGACTTTTTAAAAAAATGTAAGTTGTATGTATGATCATTGAATCTCTATGTACATTAAGATGCTGTACTTCTTAATTTTTAATATGTAAGAATTTTTCATGTATCTCATAATTTGAATAAAGTAAGTGTAAATACCTCTAATGAGGCCACTACACTATAATATAAAAAAAAAGTTATAGCTACAATTGTAGGTATAATTATAGCTATAATTTTTAGGTATAATTTTAGCTATAAATTTTTAACCGAGATGACGATAAAAGTTGTATGGAAAACTTTAGAAAAATACATTAGTGAGAAGGATATCCTAAACACTCTGGGAACTGTCTTTCTTTATTCAAAGGACTGGTCAGAAGGTCGAATGGCTAGATATAGTAAAGAGGGTCAAAATCAAAATGCTGAGGACTAAAACATTTAAAATCTTCTCACATTTTTATTCAATTGACACTATTTTTTCTCTACTGTGTTTTTTTAAATTGTTAAAAATAATTTATTTGATAAAAGAAAAAGTTACCATTGTTGTAAAATTTTATACTATTGTTTATTCTCCTAGTCTAAGAATTCATTTCTTGAAGAACAGTATATTATGCACACCTAGTGAGTGGGGTTAAGGAGCAGAGCAGAACATATACTTAAAGCACGTTTGGTGGGGGTATGCTGAAAATACTCTAGAGAGGTTGCCTAACTAGGGCCAAGCTAAGCCGCGTTACATCACGCTATCTGCCTCTATACTTTTGCCTCGCTAGGACCTAGCTAGGCTAGCTAAGCTGCCTAGGTAGGCACAACCTATAGACCTCCGCTAAGCTTTCCGATCGGTGAGAGGTGAGAGGTGAGAGTGGCGGCTGGTTAAGATTTTGACCACACTCAGGCCTCAGCTCTTGGCCTATATTAAGTGACCAGGTATATGTAATTTATATTGGTACTGCAAGTGTAGAATCTTTCATTTTTAAATTTAGTAATTACGAAAGAAAGATGTTGTTTTACACACTGTTTGGTAGTTACTTATTTACATCATTATTTTTTTTCAAATTCCCGACTTTGATACATAAAAAAAAAAAAATCAAATTCACGTGCCGCCACATTAGTCACAGAGGAGGTTAGTGTGCCACAATAATCAATAGCCAACGCTATTTGTGCATATTTTTTGTTATTATTTATCAGCAAGTAAACATTTGCATGTATGCAGTAAATGTCATATTATGGTTGGTTCTGGTTTTTTTTTTTCGGTAGCAGTAACATAGACTTATTCATAAGGTACTAAGTACTTAACGCGCAATTTATGAGTGCTGTTTTATGTGTTATTTGTGTCATTATATTTTTCAGGAGCCGGAGAAAGCTATGAAAACACAATGTGTGCCTTTAAACGGTTAGTCACTGCATTTTATGACTTAATAGCTTATGTAACGCTTTGACACTTTATGTAATTGATAACTTTTCTACGCCAAACATTTAAGAAATAAGATTCATATTTTCCTACAGAGTTAGCAAATCAATCTTCAAATACTACATAATATTTTAAAACAATAAAAATACAAGTTAAAAGTAATTTTAAACATAAAATCAGTAAAAACTAACCCATTGGGACATTTTTTCTTGAGAAAGTCTGATTTTTAAATGAATTTAGAAGTACTTTAAATGAAAGATTGTATTAGAGGTGTTATAGTTATTGGGATGTACTCTGATTTTACATTTCTTTAACTTAGACAAAACAAATGGAAATAATACTTTTTTGAAAAATGTTGCATTTCAAGTTATTTATCATGATTATCTTTGCACCTCGCAATAAGTGTGACACATTATTTTATACAAGAAAAGCTTATATCATTGGATGTATAAAAAAATATAAGTCTAACTTCTAAGATAAACATAATTTATTTATGTTTTATACTAGTTTAAGAGGGATCCTCCAACTTCTCTTGATGTCAATGAAACAAAAAATCAAGTTTTGTTTTTCAACTTGTTTAAGTTCCTAAAAATCATTCTATTTTTCATGAAAGTGAAAAAGTAATGATAATGTGAATAATTATACTTTTTATCATAAATGAATCGTTGTTTTGATGAGTATCAGTATGTATGCACAAATGCCCACATTATGTATCCCGGATTCAAGCACAGTAGTAGATGAGAGTAGAGAGCGTGTCAGCAATGTCGGTGTAGTTACCTGAATATAAAGAACCTCAGGCATTTGGTATTATAAATGAAGAATATGGACAAAGTGACGTCGTCAGTCATCAGGTATATCTGTTTGTGTATGTCGATTTTGAATAATCTCAACACGTGACTTAATTTTTTAGATCAATGAAACACTTTATCATAGTTTTTTTTTCCTTATAGTGGCTTTGAATAACATGATCTAATTTAATATTTTATTAGGATTAGAATGAAGATTTTCAGATTAAAAAAAATTATGAGTTTTTTGTGAAAATTTTTTATTTTATTTTTAACAATTTTATTTTGCAAAATAAATAACTGCACGAAATAACTATTTTTTATTTTTGAGATGTTCCGATATGTTTTGAGTCCTTTTCTCATCCATAAAAGTATAATATCTAATTATTAATTAGTCTTATAATGCTGTTGACAAATTTCACTAATCCAAGGTTTACAGTGTTTAGAATTATGATTATTACAGTATTACTTTAAGACTGCGCTCGACGCATCTTTCTTTTCTCTTCCTCCTTCTCTTTCTTCTCTGTAAGCTCGCGTTTTACATCAACTTAAACACCGTAAAAGTGCAAATATACCAAGCATCAGAGTTAGCTCCTCGTGATATAAGCATAAGGAGGGACAGAAGAAAATAACGATGCAAGACCCGCCTGAAAAATGGATGACGGGATTCTATGTTCTATCTATAATTACTTCAGGAAAGCTATACTGCGTTATAAATGGTTTTGTACATTATGTGCAATAGTTTTTATGTACAGTTTTTTACGTTATTTGGTTTAACAGAAGAGATTTTGGATTGGTTATGCCATACGTCATTCCGTATCGAAAAACACAGAATTAAAGATTAAAAAAAAATTTTGTCATCTAGGAATAACTGCAGAATACCATTATGCTTTCAGTAGCTTAGTGGTAGAGCGATTGCTTTCCACCTGGAGGGCTCGGGTTCGAGACCCCACTCTACCAGTTCATCGCAGGTACCTCTGTGGTTTTCTCCACATGTCCTTATCACTGTGTTAGCTCCTAGGTAGGTGGTGTAATGCTTACCGTAACATGCTGACAGTAAAGAACAACAGTGCGTGGATCCGAGGTGTAATGCATACCGTGCCGTCGGAACAGTAAGAATTAACGGTGCCTCGAGGGGGGAGGGTGGGCGATCCTCGTAGTAAAATCGTCTCTTAAATCATCATTAGAAAAGCATGAATTGTGGCGTATCAGAGTCTATTTTGTACCCATAGCCATTAATTTAATATACAATATAGTTTTTAATATACAAACAAACATAATGCATTGCTGTTACCATCAGGATGATGAGTCTCAAACAAGGAAGATCAATTACTTTTACAGGAATTTAAAAAAACATTTTTTTATTTTGAAGAAATACGAGCTGATCCTCCTTGTTTTAGAGTTGTCATGTGGATACTTATAACTAATGCCTTACTGTCAATAACACATTACGATATTCTGCAGTTATTCTTCGATGTCAAAATTTTTTTCTCTTTTTCCATCTATAATTCCATGTGTTTATTATACAAAATTACGTATGGCATCACCAATCCAAAACCTCCTATGTAAAGCCATGTGTAATGCTGTAAAGCTTTTCTGAAGTAATTATGCATGGAATTACATCTGTTTAGGTGAAGAGCTAGAACTTACTCTTGAGAATGAAATATGCATAATTTCTTAACTGATTAAGTTCTTCACCTTCTGTGCATGTATATTTGACGGTAACTAGTTAAAAAAGATGCACTTTACGTTTTCAAGATTAAATCTTAGGACTACCTCTCCTTCCTTTCTTATGCGTTGATAATTTTATCGAAATACCGTCCGCTGAAAATCGATAATCGTTTTCTATCCTTTTTATCTCTGTCTCAGCTATTCGTAAAAAAGCGATGCGCAAGCCTAGATGTTTTTGTTCATACATTTGGTTTAGGTTCGTGCAATGAAATTCAACGACATAATGTATCTCTATTCATTTTTTTTTTAGTACTCTTTGTAACACTGTTTCTGAACCTAAAAGTGAAAAAAGCGCTGATGCAGCGTTGAGAATTCTCGCTCTCGTACGTAACCGTAGTCCCCCGTACACCCTGGGTTTCTTCTCATAAAAAGGGGGATTCGTGCAGGAGTTCTCTACTTCTACGGGGAGAACTATTAATTCAACACTAGTAAATATATTTAACCATTTATTTATTTCGTCACTTAACACTACTACACAGTCTCTCTATACGAGGTATGTCCGGAAAGTATCGAGCCTACCTCCACAACTCCGCGCCGTAGTGTTCGAGCGATCTCTGTGGTGCATAAACGTAAACAGCAAAGCCTTACGGACTCAGCTGATGCTCGTTTATACTTTTCAGTTCATGCACAGCGCGTCCATGTTTAAAAGTTATTTTTGAGTTTGGCGGATTTCGTAATTGTTAAAAATGACTGAAAGGCAAGATCAACGAATTTGCATTAAATTTTGCTTTCAGTTTAGAAAAAAGAGTTCTGAAACTATTCTAATAATGCAGAAGACTTTTGGAAATGAGTGTATGAGCAAAACACGAATGAAAGAGTGGTTTAATTGTTTCAAAGAAGGCCGTACTTCTGTTGATAGTTAAAGCAACGTTAAGACTATTTTTTTTTTTTTTATTGGAAAGGTGTTGTGCACCACGAATATGCACCAACAGGCCAGATAATAAAGAATTTTACGTTGAAGTTTTAAAACATTTGCGTGAAGCAGTAAAAAGAAAACGCTCGAACTTTTGGTCAAATGGTGACTGGCTCCTTCATCACGATAATTCGCCAGCGCATTCATCGAGTCCTGTGCAACAGTTTTTGACTAATCACAGAATCGCATTACTGCGACAACCTCCGTACAGTCCCGACATTGCCCCCTGTGACTTTTGGCTGTTTCCAAAACTGAAAAAGCCACTTAAAGGACAGCGATTTGATGACAAAACGACGGTTGAGAATAATGTGATGAGAGAACTCAAGGCCATCCCTGAAAGTGAGTTCCAAGACTGTTTAGAGAAGTGGTAACAACGCTGAAATCGTGTTGTTCAATTAAATGGGGATTAATTTGAAGGATGCCATGCACCTGATGATGAAGAATAACGCTAGCGAGAAGTTGCAGAGGTAGGCCCGATACTTACCGGACAAACCTTGTACACTACACCTTGAGCGCATGTTCCCTATGTCTAGTTCGTCCTGGACCATGAAGGACTTCTGCTTATTCTAGTCCTACGCTAACATACATACACTCACACACGCCACTTTACTCTACTGGTCGTTTCTCTCTGTCTACTTAACTCTATCTCTCTATCTCTCTCTCTTTCACTTATACCTCCTACTCTACTCTATTCTTTCTCTTTGCCTACGCTACTCTCTTTTTTACTCGCTGGTTTATACATTCGCGTCGGGACTTTATAAGCTAGCGATTTCTACCCAAGTATATGAGCGTTCATTTACTGTGTTGGCAATTGCACTTTGGAAAAAACTTCCATATCATATTAAAATGTCTAAAACTCTTGTAGTATTCAAGAAGTCATTATTTTTATTCTTGTTTTTAAACGAATAAGTTTAACTCTAAAAAGCTCCAGATTATGCGAAATCGCTTTCATTGTTTTAAAGTTAGCCCTCTACATTAGGTTATAATAAGTTATATGTCATAAACTTCTTAAGTTAAGTAGTTCAAAAAAATTTTTTAATACATAAATGTTGTTAAAAGATGTTCTTAATAACGCTACTATGGCAGATCATACCATATTTTATTATATTATTATACTACTCGATAACTATTTTTATATGCGAACCGTTGTAAATAATTGAATGATAATTGATAATTATTTAACTACTAAGCATAATTGAGAAATTGCAAAATATTGTCACATGGCTATGTTTGAATTTGTAAAATGAAAACTATGAAATGTAAAAATTTTATATGTAATTTGTGTCACCCAGACCTTTGGCCTTTGGCGTAATAAATCCTAGTTCGTTATCAATCAATCAATCAAGGCAATCAGCACTCAACCTTATAAACATATCAACGAAGCACACTCACATCTCTGCCTCATTCGCACCCCTAATCACATCCATAACATCCTTGAATTCTCAGTCACTTGATGCCGTGCCAGGTTATTTCTTGATAGCACTGCTTGGAGTCTTCGGCGTTCAAGAGACCGCTTATTGTGATGCCCGATACTCAGGTATGTCCTCTGGAAT